TATGGCGGCGATAGATATTCTGCCTTAGCATTGTGTCTTCTTTGACTCGGAACACAATATCTGCAGCCTCTAAGTCAGTATATCAACAATAAAATCGCCTCCTTCACTGTTACACCTCATTATAACTTCAGTTAGGAGTGGGGACGTCGCAACATGAATCTACTTGAGCTCAAATGTCACCATCCGGTTTCAAAGCGATAGTTAGACTTGCAAGTTTAAACATTAAATAGCTTACTGAGGTGGACTAGCAAGCAGGTGAGGGGCATGACTACTTGAGTGAATTCAACCACCGCTGTCTGCGTTAACGTGCCTGTAAAGTGTGTTTCGCTCATTTAATGTGACCATATCTTACGCATTAAAAAGATTCCCTTTAAGGTTTCTCAAACACCAAATACAAGGTTGGTGGCAAGAGATACGTTAAATGCATCGGGACGCTGTAGGCTACAAGGCGCTGCAGTTGGCAGAGGGGAAATCGACAAGCATGTCCTATCAAACCGCCTATATATGGGAGCACTTCCTGAATGTTGATGGGCATAATCTCGCATTTATTTTTGAAATCTCCTCCTATAAGGGCCATAATAACTTTTAAACATGCCGTTGCAGTCGCCTATTTATATAAGTGAACAGTTACATCGTGTCAATATTTATAGCTTCTAGGCTTTAGGATAAGACCTCTTCGTGAAGCTCAGAGTTTTATGGTTAATGCACATTAACGCTGATCGGCTTTTGAAGTGTCAGAGAGAAGGCAGCGTCTCTTAAATCAACAACTAGCGAATGATGTTGAGAACAAGAAGTTTGAATAGCGTTGATATTTGGTTGGGTTTAAATGTTCTATTGTGACTCTTCAAGCCAAATCTGAAGTCTCAAGAAGTCGTAATACTAAGGCAGGCTGCTCAGCTGAAGTACAATAGCGGGGATTAAAGTGCCCGCAAAACCCAAACGAGGAGTTAAACAAATAATCGTTGATAGAGAGAGACCACGCCACACTAAAGGCAGCTGGCTGGAGCTTATAGAATCTCTCCCACAATCGCCATAAGGTCAAAAGGAAAGGAGGTAAAAAGAGGAACAAAGATAATATTTAAGCATTGAGGTTTTACTATTAGGTTTTTTATGCTGTCTAGATGGGTTTGGGGAAGCACAGATAATAATTCAAATACTTTTCTATCGTTTTAGCCTTATGTAGGTAGAATTGTTTCATTACGATTCGCTTCTTTGCCACATTATTTACTAAAAAATGAACTCGAGCACCGCACTTTGCCATTGCGTGTTAAGGCTACTTATCGTATATACAAATCTCATATTTAAATGAATGAAAACAAAAAGTTGTTGACGGACCGCAAGTCTCGATCCATTGAAACTGGAAATTCGAGCTCGTGAAAGGAAAAGGCTAGAAAAATTTCCTGCCACATTTGAATTAACATTCCAGCATAAAAAGATTAGCTATATCAGCTAAATTAGACCGATATAGCGTTTGTAAATCTTTATTAGTGAGAGCTAATCGGCACCGTTTTCATTAATTTGGTGGCCACTTTGATCATCCAGTGAAGTCATTTATCCACATCACATTACATTGCACCACACTCCACATAATGATGAAAATCATAAAATGCTCGCTGTCTTTGTCAAAACAAGCCCTCAAATTAGGCCACTATTCAATTCTTCTGTGGTGGTCCAATGTGAAAGTCCGCCCTGGCACCCAGCATGAGTGGATGGCTGTACTGCGCATTGCTCTGCTGTGTTCACCGTTCCCATAAGAAAGTTTCAAGCCTTGTTCCACGTCGATCGTTCGTTTGAAACTAAGGTAGGTGTTTCAAGTGCTGTCTGAATGGTCGTTTGTGGGGTTAATTGCCGTGTTGACGGCGGTAGTGGCGATGATGTTGGTGGAGTGGCAACCACCTTGGGTGAGACCATCACCTTGCTATACTGTTATTAAAGCCATCCATCCACATCTATCCTCACCCATTACCAAACGCCGTTTGAAGCATATGTCCACTTTACCACTGCTACCTTCCATTTTCATTTAGCGGTGTCTGGAGAGACCCTCAACACGTGCGTCGCCTAGCAATAGATGCCGTAGGGTCAAAATGGTTTTGCCTCTTTTCGTATTTCCCTACCTGCCAAGTTAGGGTCTTGTTACAATTTAGACTTCCTCATAAAGCCAATTTTTTAAACATATTTTATGGTCGTCTGCGCTGAAATCTCCGATGATATCCCACTTTGACAGAAAAGACGGAGCGCGAGATAAAATAAAACTTGCATTGTCAAACCTACCAACTTGATAAATCAACGGTTTGCACGCAGAGGTGTATATCCAAATATGGCTACCTGTGCATGTGAGTCACGGCCAATCCTCATGCACCATCAGCTATGGTGGGTTGGTGATCCGGTACCAATCAGATTACGCCAACTTGTGAGTGTGGCTGTACATTTCTGTTTAGCCATATCTAGTCATTCTCTAGTCTATAGTGTCCCAATTGGCCATCTTGAACGAGGACATGACCAACGCGCGTGTGTATCCGTGATGCACCTGTTTGCACGGTCGGTCCGGACACATACACATGCACGGAATATCAACCACCAGAGAGATGTTTACTTTATTTGCAACACCGCTCTGTGAGATAGTTTTCTCAACGTTCCGCATCAATTCACCCACATCTTCATTAAATTTATGCTTGTTGGATAAAAATATGCCATGATTTGAGGTTTTGACTCTAATATGAATGCCCTGATGAAACCTGTAATTAATTGTAATTACTACCTGAGACATGGACGGTAGTAAATTCCTCTACATCCGATGTTTTTATCATTTGTTACCTTTGGTTATAGTTCTTTTTAGTTTCATCTGATTACAAAGTATCAATCTTGGCTCCTGTTACCCCCAAAACTGGAATTCTAAATTTGTAGCTTCTTTCTTTAGAGCCCCTTGGCCTTGTGTTTAACACCCTCAAACAAGTAATGAAAACGCGTTTTGACCAGCCTTCTCTTATGAAGTTGCAAATATATGTTTGATTCAATTCCTAGCATTCTCAAATACACTTACTTTGTAATTTTGCCGCCTGAAGCATATTCCACCCACACAATTTGAGCAGTGCAGCAAGGAGCTCTTTTTGCGTTGCTTTCCCACCTCTTCCCGTGATAAAAAGGTAATCGGGACGAAAGAGAGGTGATGAGTTTGCCTCGTTACACATTTCAGCCACTAATGGTGTGCTTTTTCGGTTTTTCCAATTATTACATTTACAAAAAACTGGATTTTAAATGACAAGGAGGGGGAAGTACTAGACCAATCACTTGTTTTTATAAGTTTTGACGTTCAGGAAGAAATCTCCAACTGTTTGACAATTTATTTCCTAAATCAACTTTTCTTTTGTAATATTTTCACCCCGTTAATGAGGTGATTAAATTAGCTTTCCTCTGGATTGTCGAGGCACGTTCATTTCATACTCATTAGTTGAGCAGGTAGTATTTAATGTCGGTGAATAGGAAAAATAAGGGAAAAGACAAAAGATTCTATCTCGCTTGCTTGCGTAAAGACTAGAAGATGGAATAAATAACACCACTTCCAATTAATTCAAACAGTAGTCAGGGTAGAACATGTGCCGCCATGTTTTGGGGGCATGGAGTGTACAAGCCGGGTGGAATTACAAGAGCAAGCGTTGAATAAACAAGCGCAAAGGTCCAGAGTTGTTAATCAAATGCTGTTCATTTCTAACGTGAAATAATATTTTAAAAGGAACTTATTTAGAAACAGAAATAGTCGTTGTAATCGTGGTGTTAAAGGCGTGTCCCCTCTTCCGTGGTTCAGTGGCCTCATGGCACCTGAGCTGCCAGCCTCCCAACCCTTCAATGAGTCTAGGCATACAAGCGGTTGATTTTGATCTACCTTTTAGTAAAAATACCAACATTTCCCGCACACTCTGAAGCGATTAAAATAAATCCCCACGATTAAAAAAACTTAACGAATTTACTCGATCGTGGGTGTAAACACCACTTCACAGACCGGAACTTTTAATAGTAGCTTAAGAAAAACCTCACACTGATAATTTTTATGGGAGCTTTGATTAAATTTTATTGTGCTCCTTGCTTCTCCCGCAGCCGTACTTGAGACTACGCTGCAATGGCATTTTGGGGTTTTGTATTCTGTATAGACCAACGGAAAAAGAAACGCTATGAGGACTACGTCGCATTAAGGCAGCATTTAAACTTCCACCCTTTTGTAAATATTATATCAAAACAAACGATCTGGTCCTGTTTTGCCAGCTGATCTCCAATTTCCCGCTCCCAAATCATTATAACCTGGAGAAGGGTAATCTCTTCAAAAGATTTATTCTTCTTTTGTTAACAGAGTGAGAGAGAAGGATATGAAGTGGAGCAATTTAACTCACGGGATTAAAATGAAAACGCTAAATGCAAAAAGGGGTCCAATAAAGTATAAATTGTTTTCGGTCCCACCTCTTTTATCCCCATAAATGAAATCAAATTATTAATGTCCCCCCAAAATGAGACTAGTCTCACGTGGTGGTAGGTCCTAGTTAATGCAAAAAATTACCCTTCTCTGAAACAGTACTTTGCAAGAATTTTGCTTGAAGCAATTAGGAAGACGACTGAAGGGATCACCGATCGGTGTATCTTTAGTTTAAAGCGAAGAAAGGGAAAGCCGCGCTAATTTATCTGCGCATTCACCACCAGAGTCGCAGCGTCAAGTATATGTGACACTGGTAGTGGACATGCTAATGGTAGCCGAACAGCATCCCCATAAGCGTTGAATCATCCAGTGCTGTTAACCATTCAAACATCAAAGTTTTACAGCCAACGGCTATATTGCATGGCCCATGAAGAAGTGCGTTTACTGCTAGTATTATATTACCTTGTAGGACACAAAGGTAGCAGCTAGCGCCCAGCACGGTGATTAAATTGCGGTGGTAAAAACAAGTATTTTTTAAAATAGCAAAAAAAGACCAATAAGAGATCAAAATGTGTTCTTCACTCCACCTCTGCGGACGTTATGTTCCCACCCGCCCATTGTTATCATTGTTTACTGGTTTTGATGGCCAAGAGCGGTTCAGACGTGCCGAGTAGAGGCTGGGTTTCCGAGGTTGTGATTTCACGGACATCCCAAGAGTATTGTTGATAGAGTGGGATTTACGCGGCTTTTTAGGGGCCAGATTTACTTTCATTCGTTCATCCTGTAGGACTATTTTGTGGAAATGTGCAAAATCATCGCTGATCATGGATTCACTTTCTGTTGAGCCCTCCCTAAGGACAAGTGATGAGTTCTTCCCCACTGTAGAAGTTGTTGGCGACTTTTTAAGACGGAAGACTTCATAGGTGCTTTGTCGCCGCATTTGAAGGGACTGACGGTTATTCGCAGAGGAGGAACCTCGTGAGGACTCATTATCGCAACTTATGGAGACGCTTCGCTTGAAACGATCACGTTGGAGGGCCGCTGCTGTAGTCGGCAATGCTGGCACGACCTTGCCTTCTTGACGCTGTACCGGTTTATGCTCCTGCATCGTAGCAGATTCTACAATATCTCCGCAGTTGGACACTTCTTCTAATGGAGCTAAAGTCCGGCATGACTTCGGCACGCCTTTACTGGAACTTCTACGTCGAAATATGTCAATAGGGGGCGCAGAGGTGGTTAGAGAAGGTGGTGGAGTGTGAACCTCTATGTTGACAAGCTTCTGATGCCGATTATTTTGAACGTGATGCACTGGGGAGTTCTTTAAGCTCCTTGTTGTCTCTTCGTCTGCACAGGGAAGCTCCTCATTAAAGGTTGAAGATGGTTCACACACCGTTACCACAGGTGCGGGTGAAGAAACACGAAGGAGGGATTGATCAGTCCTACTGTTTGCAGAACCACTCTCTTGCTGTTTCACTGCATCAACCATAAAAGAACTCCTCGGAGTTTTTTCGTAGAATGATGAAGGAAGTAGGCTAGTCCGCTTAGTGGAACTCTCATTAATGCTTAGGGTTGCGCTTTCTCGAGTCAGAAATGTTAAGCTTGCAGGGTCAAGATGCTGCAGGCTATGGTTCACTTGTTGTATGCCTAATTGGTTTTGCCCAGTTTGATACTCGGGAAATTTTTGATCTCCTCCATAACCCTCCTTTTCTCCACTTGGGTAGGGCGGTGTTTTATCATTTGTGGAGCATCTCTGCAGTCGACGTGTGCGCTTGCTCAATGAGGAGATTCTCGGCTCTGAGACATCAGATTTTCGCTTTGTGTCAAATAAATTCTTCACTTGCTCATTGTGTTGATGAAACCCCGTGCGAAAAATGAACTGAAAACCACAACAATGAATTTTGTAAACCGGAGTGCCAAATGCATTTCTTCGATACTTGTGAAAGGCTCGAGTTTTAATGGAACTGCGATCGGAGGTAGGAATATCCGGGAATCCACGAAGACTACCGCGTAGTCGTGTGAGACTGAGATTCCGCGTTCGCTGAAATCGTATGGTCACTCTTTTCATAAGAAGCCGCATCGTATCAGTCATGCAGCCGTAGAGGCAGGGGTTCAAACAACCCGAACACATGGCTAGAAGTTTGAGAATGAGATCAATTATCTTTGCGTGACCACCAAGAAGCAGACGAGACTGAGGCACAATGTCTGAGATGTTATATTTCCGTTCAAACGATCTGGGTGGTCGAACTGAGGCATTAAGATCTTCGTGGATGAAAACCAGATTGTTATCACGCGATGGTAAAAGGAGGGATTTTATGTTAACCACACTACTTAAATTGCTCTGAGTGCCCTCAAATAACGGGAACAAGTTAATGGGATTTCGTTTCTGTGCTCGATAAGCGTAGACTTCTAGAATGATGGAGAAAACATTCCATGGAGTCCAGCAGATAAAGAAGCAGATAACAATGGCAATAAGGATCTTGTTTGTGCGCTTCTTTCTCTCCAAATCGCGTTTTCGAAAGCGTCTCTCATGTAGCCGAAAGTAAATCCGAGTGTAGAGAGTGGCAGTAAGGAGAAGAGGTAGAAAGAACTGTACAGTGAAGGTGAAGATAGTGTAACAGAGCCGAATCTCCGGGGAAGGCCACTCTTCCACGCAATAGTGATACTCCATCGGTTCTCTCTGTCCGTCTTCCAGCCTAGTCACTGCTTGACTGCTTTTATTGAAGATGGCTATGGGAATTACACTAATAACACTGATTACAGCAATTGCAACGAGGGTAAGGGACGCAGAACCCCGAGGCATACGTCTGCGCAGGGGATAGACAATGATATTATACCGGTCAATGCCGATAACAAGGATAACGAGGCAAGAGATGTGCATTGGAAGCCCGAAGGTGGAGAAGACTAACTGGCAGGCAAGGTTAGAGAAGTATACACGCTCCTGCATCTCATAGTAGGCTTGCATGGGCATATTGAATCCCGACATAAAGATGTCGGAGATGGCGAGCGCGAGAACGAAGCGATTGGTGATATTGTGGAGGGATTTAGGATGCCAGATGAGAAGAAAGAAAACCACAGCTGCATTGGTTGTGACGCCGATTACAGCAAAGAGAGCGTAGAGGAGGATAAGAATGACGCGTACCCATACGATGCGATGCGAACTGAAGTAGGCGTCACCGTAAATGGAATAGAGGAGGTCACCTGGAAAGGAACTTCCATTCTGCAAACTTGGTAGATTCTCTGTGGAGAACAGACCTGAGAAGTCTAGCATCCTCGTACGGACTTAACAGAGGGAGTCATGAGCATCATCTGGTTGCAGGGGAAACCACCTTGTGAAAAGCTGAACCAAAATTAAATTATTTTTAATGGGGCCTATTTTTAAACCCCGTCTGCCTCCTTCCGCCTGCTTAGCCGAGGAGATCATTAGTACGACCCGTTTGAGTCGGATGATGCGACTAATTAGGCCCTATCAACAAAAATTTTAAAGGCGCTTCTAGATTACCAAAGTAGTGGATGGTGGAGGAGGCAATGGATGGTATAAAATGGATATCTAATGACCTAAACCACAACAGTGATATTTACTCCTCCCCTAGTAGATGATTTTAAGTGGTTAGGGAAAGAAGGCACTATGATACTTCAATTATTTGTACCCCACTTCCAACATTATGCATCCGCCACAGCTCTTCTGTGCAATAGTAACATATCTTCTGCCACACTCCTAATGACTTCTTCAAACTTTGGGGAGGACTAGGGACGCTACATTGATGGCGGAGGAAACTTTCCTGATTTCGACAGCTGGTTGCCAAACCTTAATGCGACGCGAAGAGGGCATGTGCCGATGATGGAAGAATCTGAGAAGTTCACTAACAGAATGGCCTAAAATGGCGTCCGCCATCGACAAATACTCAAATTCCGTGTTTTAAAGGAATGCTTTTTACAGCTAAAGCGACACTAGCCGTGAACCATCCGGAAAAATTTACCATGGAGCTGACTCCGGTAATCTTATGAAGGTGTCAATGAAGTGAACACGAGATACCTCCACCTCTCTACTGGCTGAGTAGAACGCAAATAGATATGGGTAGATGGCACTGAAATGCGAACAAGGAGGCAAGAAAAATATCCGCTAAACTTCACCTCCCCAAAATTGTTTTAAGCCCCATCCTTATTTTGATGACCGCTTTTTTGCCAGCGCCCATACGAATAGTGGCGAACATACAGGGTGGCCAACACGTCTCCTCTTTCCCCAATAAAGTTGCTAAACAGGACGATCCTATGGGTTTAGTGAAATTGCCAAGCGAGATTAGTGACTTTGCGGTCAGCTGCACTCAAATTTAATGACTGGTGCCATTGGTTCGTGGGTGTTTACCCTACAGCCCTGACCAAGTTGTGGTGGCCGACGCCGGGGTAGACCAAAGGGAGCGTCGGGGACGATGATCAAAAGAAGGGGGGAGGGCTATGTATTCCTCACTTGTTAGTTAATCTCTTTGTTTTGGTTTCACGGGCGTGGAAGGACGTGGTCATTGTACTTTTGCTAGGAGGCATGGCCTTCGGATCACGCCAGTAGCTCCCCCCATCCAGCCCTTCTGTACGTCTTCCCATGAGTTACATCTTCCTTTGCCTTTAGGGGAGGCTTTAAGGCGCTACGCTACTCTCCGTCTTTTTAATAATTAAGTAGCATTTCTGTGTATTAAACAACGAGATAAGAAAAAGTTATTGTCGATCTAGTGCCTTCCTTGTTTATGATTTAATTTCCCCAGTCACAGAACGTAGGCGTACACCCTTGATTTTTGATTACCAAAAAGAATCACATTAGACACAGGTAATTCAAATCAGCTAAGCAATTAACTCGTTGGTTCTAGTCTCTGCTGACTGGATTTCTGGTTCATAGAAGGGCACTCAGCAAGCGCAATGGCTAACCTACTGGCTAAATGGGAATTTTTTGAACATTGGCGAGGCTTTTTAGTGGTTTGTATTGGATTCTGCAAGGATTAATGCCAATTTTACCCAGAAATTTCCTAAAACCTACCATCGATTACGGAATTTTAACTTTTTCCCTCTAGTTACGCATCAAGATATAATCAAGTTAGCTCAAGGTTTGACGGCGAACCAGCTTCACAAAGAAGAATAAAAGGGTAAGTGAGGCGACTTTAACTCACTGAACATGCAAATGCTGAAAAAATTCTGGCTAATAAATAGAAATACCTTGAGGGACTTAATTAATTTCAAGGAAGTTGAAATATCTGGTCTAGAGAAGTCAGATTAACTGTAGAGCAAAAATTTTGTTGGCCAGGCCAACTCTCAAAGGAGGACAGAGGGGAGAAAAACTATTCACCCACGTAACGATGGCAAATCTCTGAGGTATTCGTATTCATTCAGTTACATATTAGCTGCGAATAAACAAAGCAAGTCCAATCAGTCAAGCTGGAAATGAGATGTGAATAACTTCAACCTAGAATTGTGGACGAGGATGAATAGGAATGATCCCTTGATGAAATTTTTCATCATCATCAGTTTCATAGCTGCGATTAGTACACAATGAATAACTTTGAATAGCAAACCTCTGTACCTTTTCTTGATAGGTAAAATCAGACTAGATAATGTTTCCCCCAAAATGTTTCCCGGTGCTGAGGGTCCAACTGCGTGAAGTGCGAACATTATAGCAACCAGTTGCATTAATTTGTGAGCCGCCAACAGATTAGTCGAGTTTATGGTAGTGGAATACGTATGTTACTAAGAGAAGCACCCGGTCCACCTATTACTGACAGTCGGCGTTGCGCTCGGCTGATAGAGACGCAGGTAATGAAGTGGCCGATTTTTGCAGGATGGATATTCTGGCAGAAAACTTATAAACTTGAAAATTTTAATGACAAATATGCGGTTTAATCTATTTATATACTTATTCAAAAGTGAAAAAAACTGTTCGCCAATCCAAAAGTTGGGGTTACAGCGCCACCACGCTCGTGCCTTTGTTGTTCCGTCGACGGAATCATTTGCCTCCATGTATAGCCAACATGCCGACCCTCCTGTGCGCATGTCTCAAGAGCTCACAGAGCATTTATACTCAACGTAGCTGGCAGAGTTTAAACGCCACACACGACGCAACATTAAGAAATGTTATTAATTGAGGGCAGCTTTAAGAACTCCTTCATTAAACTCCTGTGTGCGCCAAAAATATGTGGCAACTAATTGCCAACCAGAGCATTCCGGAGTGGAATTTGTGCTATTTCAAGGCTGCGTCGTTAAAATCTGAGAATACTCGGACCAAGATGACACTCTCATGAAACATGTAGCAGCTTGAGTGCAGAGAGTCAATTTGGCAATAAGTGAACTTTTGAATTTATTTAGAGATAACACCTAAGTCTTTTAGGCTAACAAAATCATTAACCTATAGAAGGAAGAAAGTTTGCGTCCAAAACACTGCAATTTTTACTAAAATGTACTTTTTGCCAATGTATTAACGGAATGGAAATAAAAATCCCTGTAATTTGCGTTGACATCTGGTGAAATGTCATTCGCCTGTTGTTTAATTTTCTTAAGTTTCCTCTTTACGAATCTGTTTTACTGTAAAGCACAATTTTTCTTTCACATTTGACAGGGATATCAATGCTTTAAATTACACTAAAGTGGCTGTGGAGAAGAGACCGTGAGAATGCAAACTCTTAAATAGTTTTCAAGGACGATTTTCTTCAAATCGGGAAAGTCGTGGATGTCCCAAGTGAAACTTATCATAAGACGAACATTTAAGTAATCCAATCTACAGTTTAGAAGTTTCGCATGATATTCCAAACGGGTATTTTAGGATGGAAAAAACGTCAGCTCATTAATATTGCCCGTATAAAGTCAAGACTACTTCAATTTACAGATAAGAAATAAAAAAATGTAGAAGAATCATTACTACATACAAATAAACCCACTTTAATGTAGTGAGGATTCCTGTAAAGCATCAGGTACTGTGATCTCTCCTTCCAGGCTTAAGTGCCCTTTTCCTCTGGCCTTCAGCCATTGGGTAGATTTTGCAACCAATCAGAGGGCATAAAGAAAGCAGTAGCAGCCAATGCTTGATGTGCCACTGCGCAACCCATAGAGTCCGGTGTCATCTGCTTTCGGTAGTTAACTTATAATTTAGCGGAATTAATGTGTATATGTTGCATACTGGCTGTCAGGAGCTCTAAGGAGGATTAACTGCTGCAATTCAAGTGTTTCGTTGGCTCATTGCCCAATTATTACTGACCGTTTCTTTGCCGCCATCAAATGTTCCTCTAAGATATGACGCATATTTGTGACGGAGGACACAGAGGTGAGAACCGGGAGGTAGGTGAGGAAGTAAAAAGTGTCATATTTTAAACAAATTCTGGGTAAAAGAGGGATGATACATTACATGAACATGATGAACTAGAGGCGAAAAGTTCAGTTCAAGTAAATAATTATTCATTTTGCTACCTGCTTTTTGATATTCCCTTAAAACCCAAATTGCGGACCTTAACTACATATAGGGTGTCTTTGCTCGGATGTTAGTCTGTTTCGACTTCACATCTTATGTCTACGACATCTGTTGCAGTGACAACTTACTACAAGCCAGTTATTGCCGGAAAAAGTTGACTAGCGTCACTGTGTCGTGAAAGTCTAAAAAATGCATAATACTAGAGCTGAAAATGAATAAAGATATGCAAAATGGCTGGGAGGCTACTGTCATGGATCAGAAGCTGTGCTACTCAGCAAGAATACAATCGGGGAGCATTGAGTGCTTTCCTAATCAAAAAGTACATTTAAACAAACGCTCTCTTCATTTGAGCGTCACGTCTGGCGCTCCCCTTGATCAACCTTCCGAGAAGGTCATCGTAACGTAGTCGGTGCTGTAGGAAAAGCACCAACTTACCAAAAGGCTAGTCATCGAATTTATGTGCAACTGAGAAGATATTCGACTTCAGCATCACTGATCCCTTTTGGCAACTTCACTGTCCTCTGGATTTCCTCCCCTTTTGGGAACACTGTTAAGAGAAGCGTAATGGACAGATCATCTTGTGTATCCACCGAGGAACAGAATTTAAACCGGTTCTGTGGGCATAATGCTTCGCGTATATTCCTCCTTGCCACCTGGTGTACACTGTCCATTCAACAAGAAGAGAAGTGGAGGAGGTTTTAGAGCGCCAAAGGTGGACCTATTACTACGGTCACAGAAATCAAGGCAGTTGTTCTCTAGGATAGAGTTTGCCTTACACTGCTACCAATGCAGAGCCCTGAGTCTTGCCTGAAGAGGAAAGAAATCATAATACTAGGGGGAATATGTATCTCTGACGTAGGGAGGGGCTGAGGAGCCACTGATATGACCTGGAGGCCATGCGATCAAGCGGAAGTACAAAGATGGAGCCCTCGGTACCCGCGTAATCGAAAAGAAGAGTTGGGTAAGTAATCAATCTCATACGGCAGCATTTATTGCATAATAACACGTATTTATAAAATTGCGTCATGTTTTCTGCTCTATACTGGCAGCAGTAACAATGTCATCTCAACCCCTTTATTAATCAGACACATTATTAAGTTTATATACTTTGTGAGAAATATTACCCTTCTCCTAGGGTTATTATACCTACAGTTAAGATAAATACGTGGAAGAACCACTGATCGAAGAAGCATAGACACACCGTCAGTTGACGCATAACCTCCAAACCCTCGCCCAAATTGTAAACAAAAGTTCAACAAAGCAGATCCGTAAATGGTGTGTATCCAAGCCTGGTAACATACACACACACATATACGCACCGTCGAATCAGATTTGCACAACTGATTCGTGGCCCACCAATACTCGGTCCAACTCTACATGTATGCACATGCATCGTTGTGTTAGTGAAAGTGACATCGCCTTCCACCGCTGCAGTCACACCACACACATACGGCAAATGCGGCTCCACCTGTAAGTCCTTCCCATGGCGACATTCCTAAACGGAAATCTTGAGCCCTGCTTTCGGTCCAGCGGTACTGGCCTTTACTCGAAATGGCACAGTTGTAGCATTTACATAGAATTTGAAGTGTTTGAGATTGTACAAACTTGATGTCTTTATTAGTCGTTCAGAAATATTCCCAACTCAATGCTCGTGTACATAGGTGACTTGATAATTCGTCCATCTTGTCAATGTTAGACGCAGTGTAGAAGGAGGAAGGAGATAGGGTTAAGGGCAATACTGGTATTCTAAGTAGGAACTTCACATCCCATTTTCAATGAATGGCACCGTTGTGTATTTTGGTTGTAGGTTCCTTCTATGCCTTCTAACTGGATTGAGCTCTGTCAATTTAGCCGAAGCAGAAAGGTGTTTCGACTCATGGATATTTACTGACCATCCTGTTGCCATCAGTATTAAACCGTCCTTTAAGAAACACACAAGCACCATCGGACAACAGAGGAAACGTGATGTACAATGGATCTTTGAACTTCTCAACAGGGCTGATAGCGTACAGGTAACGATTGTGCTCCATTGCATTCTCTCCACCCATAAGCACACTTTGGCATCATTCCTACCTTTAAAGTCGAACTACGTGATTTTCTTTTTAAAGCCAGTGCTGTTCCTTTCATTAAACGATCTAGCAGTGCGGTCTGTGAAGTGAGATTGTCGAAGCAGGGGTCAATTCTGAGCACCAAGAATGATGCATTTTATCTCTTTCAGATGCAATCCATTAGGGATTACTGGGGAGGGCAGGTGCAGGTTGACTGCGTGGCTGAGAAGAAATTCTACAATGGAACCGCCAAAATGAGCATCCGAATTGACAAGGCGAAGCTGAAAATGGAGCAATGTCCATTTGTTACTTGGCAGGCTCATTCGGAATCGCCGACACGATGCCGAATCTTCCGAACCAGTGCTAGTGACGTCCCACTAAATTTCATTGTGTTTAATAGGTACGTGTAGTTTTTACCTTACCGACCTCTACTTTCCATTAGTTCGTTACAACCACTGGACCGCTCATAATAATTTGACTTTACTCCGAAAAATTTGATTAACTAAATCGGAGGTGGCAAGTTGTATCAGCCACTTAAATTTGGCACCTATAAAAGCCGGTAGAGTGTACCGAGACCATCCCGAGTACAAGGAGGCATGATAATAGGGTAGGATCTGCTTTGCAGACATCCATAAGAAAGAATAAAGACTTAAAAAAGACTTTCTTGGAAAAGATCCGCTAAATTAGCAAACACTGCTTTGCCGAACACATCCGAGGAAGAAGTGTGCAGATGTAACAGCAGTCTGTGTTGTAAAGATGCAACTTAAGTGGCTTGAATTGTGCTACTCTCAACTTTCAAACATCGTAGCAGCCTTTGCTTGATACACGAGCCAAATCATCGTCAGTGATTAGTCTACCAAATTGATGTGGAGGTATTAACGTGGGTTACTGTATCTATCCTGACATTGGCCACTCATCATTACCCAAATTCTCCATCCACTATGCCACCCTTCACCAACGCTTTTCAATCGTTATCTAGGACGGCTCAAATGCAGGCGCAACTAGGTGCGAGGCAGACAAGTTTCTGCTTGGATAGACTCAGTCCAGCCACAACCTATCTCCTTTGTTTGGCATCACATGAATGTCAGAATGACTGGAACTGCGAGGCCTTTACAACGTTGCAAGCGACTTCACAAGATACGCCTCCCTATGCCATGGATGTTTATGTTGAGTGGACAGATTCCAAGTGGGTCCAATTAAGCTGGCCACCTCCGAAAATTAGAAGACCTGCTACGCCACCAATTGGCTATGTCATCTCTGTCCGCAGAGATGAAAATTGTTGGGAAAGGGAAGTACTCCTGTCTGCGCCATGGGTAAGAACGCATTGACTCGCCAATGGTAAAATACTCGGCCTTTCAACCGTCACAGGCAAGAGCAGTGACCTTATGCGTTTCAACTTCTGTTTAAGGCCACGGAAATGGAAAGAGCACATATACGGAAATCGGCTGAGCGTCTGGAATGGGCTCACAGATGTGGTGGTCGAACGGCTAGAGTAGTGGATGGACAGCTTGATGGGTATTGGCCTGATTTCGCAGGCTCGAGGCGACAAACCTGGGTTGAGGGCTGGAATGGCGCTGATGTGGATGAGCAGGGACCTCTTGGCATATTCGCTGTCACCGTGGGTGATCTCCAAGCCAATACGTTCTACAAATTTGCCATCACACCAATCTTCCATCCACATTCGAACATTCTTTCTCAAAGTACAGATATACAGATAAAAACAGCTTCATATGGTAGGTGGTGGTTGTTAATTGCCAAGTTGGGGAGCACAGAAAGGCAGTTACATTCACAATCCATCACAATATTCTTTTCAGATTCACGTGTATCAGTGGAGGCAGGAGAGGGTTCGATGTGGATCTCCTATCCCAGAGCATACGATCTCACGATTTCTGAGATCGGGGCTTACCCGATTCATTGCAATCACAGTGTGAGCCCATTTTTGCTATTTCTTATCTATTTTTGGCGCTAGAGTTGGTTGCATTATCTTATGGATGGCAGTGAATCAAGTGCAATCAACAAACTAGACTGAGGTGCTTGTGTTTCATTTCAGTCACCCACTTTCAACAATGGAGCTGCAGAGATATTGTGTAGAAAATCCTTCCACAGCACTAGACAACAAGTCAAAATTTCTCTGACTCCGGGTGCGATTTACCGACTAAAAATGGATTCGAGTTACTCGGAACCCCTCCTTCAAAAGGTAGTCCGAATTCCACCTGAACGCCGTAAGTATCCGGTTTCCATCTGCATTTGAAAAGCTGTTATTTGTAAGACAATGGATTTTAAACACATTTTCAAGAAAGAACGAAGTAAAATGCGATCTTTTTGTCTAACAAGACAATGCATTCTAACTGGGTGAGTTTCACAGGCTGCCTCCCAGAACTAGCCAATCAACTTACCACCCCAAATCATTATTCACCTGAGGGTTAAACAGGGATGGTGCAGTTAATTTCAGGCATTAATTTTTATTTAGTAAATAAAACATAACTGCGGAGTGACATTTATTGCCATCAATCACCATAATTTTTGCGTGACACTTTCATTACTGCTTTAGTAAGTAATTGTTAATTGGCGGTGGGCCAATGAGGAGGAAGGCCCACGATAACCCACCACCTTCCTACCTGACGTGCATCAAAAAACGGCAAATTTGAATTGTGAAACAGAAAATGAGTTCGTACCTTTCATTACAAAGCCAACTACTAATTTGTTCTCCCTCTGAATGGAGTGTTTCAGTAGGCACTAAATACATTTCGATTGCCAACCCACAGTTCAGGTTGATCACGAAGATGAGAACGTTGAGAAAGCAAGAAAAGTGTTAACAATATCAAATCAAATGACAACTTGTGCTACATAACTACAACTTAGTAATGGAATATGGCTTCAATATTTATCAAAGAACTGACGTGTCACAGTTCACCCACTTGCGAATCTCCTCCCTTCCCAATTAATAGCCAAATTCCAGCCTCAAATCAAGGCCATTGCCCTCTCCTCGAACCTAGTCTTTATCAATGTGATCCATCTCAATGCCACGGTGTCAAATCCTCTGGCTTTCATTACCCGTATATGTCAGACTACGGACACCAGACAATGCAAATTGCATCCACTCCATTATGAGGTCGTCAGTTCCTACAGTCTCTACCAAAATCGTTCTGTCTGGCGTCTGAGTAACTTCGGCGACAGTGCTCACTTCAACGCACGCATTCAAACAACAAACCGTGCAAATCTGCAAGTCTCCTTGTATGCGTACCCTGGCGATTTGCTTACGGGTGAGGAGGTTCAACTAGCCACTACTACCTCGGAACCACGAAAGGACGGTGAGCTCACGATTTGGACATCCTCATTAGTACTTGCTGATGCAGAATAAAAGTAGTGCCGCAGACTCGTTGTGAGGAACAGGCTTACTTCGCCATTCCCTTTCCGACTTCTTCCTATACTGCGTAAACCTTCACTTTACAAGGAGGTGGCAGGAAAGACAGGCTTCCACTCACCATTCATTCACCACTTCTCTAGCTTGCAAAAGTTGGTGCATATGGCCGGGTGGTGACTGGAGCAACACAAATGGTGGTGCTATCGGTACGTACAATAGAGAGTTTGCGAGGCGGACCAGTGATGGTGAAGTGTGTGAGGGCTATTGTGAACCTCTGTCTGAGGCCATCAATGGTGAAAGCGGATGTGCTCCTCTCCACAAACGCATGCAATTGTGCAATCTTCCTGTCTGCAGTGCTGTTGGTATGTCCCTAGTTACCCTATGGAATGCTTCGTTATGAATTAAGCTTATCCTGCAGTCAGACTAGCATATCAAACATGACAGCAGTGTTGGCTTCTCGATGGTTCGGAGTGTAGTAGATAGAGAGTAATTCCAAATGTCATCCGAACACAGCAGTAGAATAGGTAGTCCAATTTCGTGACACTCAAATTCGTTTTATCAAGCAAAACTTTATTTGCCATTTTTAGCCCCAATTGGTTGCGTAACAGACGCAGACTCTGCGCAGGGAACGTCTTGGATTAGCGTGGAGTGGAAGAATCCAAGGGAGTCAGTCGGCTCCTTCCCTAAATTCCTTATCCTAGTTACCTCCCACTACGATGCAGAGGTAGGCCAGGTATTCGTCGAGGTAGGTGAAGCTATTTCTGGCATACATGATGCCGCTTCAGAATACTGATACAACGCTACTGCCGCCCTTCCTTCGAAGCGCAGTGCAAAGTCTTCATCGCCCACAAGTCCATCCAATCACCGATGGCATGGATAGGGTGAATATTACAAACTTAGCACAGAACACGGATTACAACATCGCGGTCATTCCGTACTTACTGGATGGACGCATTGGAGCAGTTCTGGAAAAGACGGTTAAAACCAAAATGGCGGGTAAGTGACTACCTAGAACCAGGTTTCAACCATGCGTAAACGTTTCAAGACGCCCTTTGCTGTGAACGGGAGTGATGATCTCAAGCATTGCTGTTTCCATTCCATCAACACTAACACCACCACAGCTTCCATCACAGCCAACGCAGCCACCAGTCCTATGAACCACTATTCAGTCAGCACATGGAACACTCGCCTTAGTTCCAGACACACGATATCTTTTGACTTCGTGTTGACAAGTGTTTCATTTACTTGACAGATATTCCACATTCGCTGAATGCAATACCACTACTAAAGGCCTCCATTTCCCACTTCTATCTAGCTCCCTGTAGAATAGCGTATGTGAAGATAAGGCGAAATGGCAGCGATGTGAGTGTGACATGGCAGCTCCAATTGAAAAGGACTTGCAGTGTACCCACGGATCTCGTAGTGGAAATAAATGAAACAAGACGAGATGTCAAACTGGAACACCCATTTGACAGGGCTCATTTGACGCATAACTTCGAGTTTTGCAGGACTTACCATTTCCGCCTGCGATTTGACAGCTTGGGAGGCAGGCGTGAGTATCCACACGCTCTCTCCTCTGAAATCGGCTATCCAGGTAAGGTTGAGCCCAGGAGACTGACACACGTTTGGGTAACAATTTGGACAACCTCAATGTTATTCTCAAGGAGTATTCTAGTCAGGATTATATGCCGACTGTGAATACTACTGCTTTTAAATAAGTAAAAACACAGTTAGCCCTGTTCAGGAGGAACGTGATTGGAAAGTAGAGGTCATGGCAAGGGCAATGTGGTGGGAATAGCCCTCAAATAGTAGGACGAGGAGATACAACCGAGTTCAATGCAATCTTGAAGTTGTCACGTACTTATCGAGGTGCAATAAGCACAGAGCAGAGTGAGTGATGAGCCACCGCGAAGCACTGATGCCTGCGCTTTGCTTTAGACATAGCTGATACGGCGCCATTCACCTACCTCTCCAACACCGCCCCCTATTTCGGTGTATCCTTTACGCCCAAACATTCGTCCTGTGTCTACGAGTACGCTCTCCAATGGGGCATTTGGCCCAATTTCCAGCACTGCAAAGTGGTAGCCGCATTTCCAACCGGTAATGCAATGCACTTGCTCCCAATTTGTCATGGTGACACTATTCATGGAGGCAACATTGCCGCTCCTTGGGTACCCAATCCCACTTCTTATTCCTCCATGTCCAGTCTCATTTTTGCAGACATCCATTTGTGTGAGTACCTAACACGTTGCTCCTTTCTCCTTGAAGGCAGTAACTTACCGACGCTGAAGGAAGGATTCGTGTATAATTTCAAAGCAAGAGTGCAGCCACCTGGCTTGACTCCAAATTGCAACAATGTGACGTTTGCTTCGGCCTGGTCCGAACCACTGACCATTGCTACAGCCCTCTGTAAGTTACTGGGGTACCACCTGCCGCCTGCCTTCGGGTTCAAATGATGGGAAGAGACTACTGAGTACATTCTATGCTTCCACCAGCTTCTGTTGGCTGTGCTTCATCACCTAATTAAAACCGAATTGGAATATGTGTGCTACCATTTGCGATGCAACGCAAATTTTTTCGTCATCAACTCGACAAATATCCCAGACAAATAGTGCAATCGTAAGATCGGTGCATTCAAGATCAAATCCTCAACAATGCCCATATGCAACGCACATGCTTTAGTGCAGACTTGGCAACTTTGTATTGCCATTTCATGGTCCATTCTACTCCTTGTCTTTCAGTATGACGCACGCTTTTGCTAACACGTAAGTTGGATTAGGACATCGTCAAGTGCATTCGGATGAAATAATTTATATACATATTTGAGGATCACAGATTAACCACATCAACAGGAAGCTATTCCAAAAGTGTTGCCACGTAAATACATGCATGACAATTACTCATCCAATGGCTTTCATAAAGAGCACAAAAATATTCCCTTCCGTAAATATCCATTTACAGCAAAAAGTGAAGTGAAAACTCACAACGTGACGGTGACAGCCTATATTGTTGAAAGGGAAGAAAAGGAAGAGAGCAGCTCTGCTTGTCTATTGCCGCAGGCAGAGTACAGCGAACACCACGAGCTTCGGGCGGTTGAAAATAGCATTTCCCGCAGTGGGGACAACGCTTCCATCTGCATTATTGTCGATTGGACCGTCGATGCCACCAGTGCGGGTAGCATTCTCGGATACATTCTCCAATTAACGCAATCTGCTGCCAACAACTGTCGCCTCATTTGGGTTCCTTGTGAAGACTGCTTTCCCGGTTATGGTTTGGTGAGATTTGCATCTCCTCCCCCTTTCCCTTTTTAATCACTACTTAACTCTACACCAATGTACGTATCCAAAGTTTCCACACAGAGCGTGGATAGGATCATTGTCGTTCGGGTGCGATTGCCGACGCTGCCGTCATTGTGGTTACCCAGCAACGTCTGCATATTATCATGAGGTCTCCGAGACGTGAGCAGCTTTGTCTTTGTTTGCGAATGAGTACTGTCATTCATCCAAGTCTAGTTCGTATAACATGCGATATCAACACTACGAACAGTTGGCAGTCATCTTAGTACACCATCCAAATCACATTCAGTACCCCGTTCCCACTTTTACCTACTTCAAATCACTTCTTCCTTGTAGAGGAATGCTTTGCCTGAGGTTGCACAACAGTTGCGCCGCATAGCATCACAATGCATAGAGGACTCCACACAGCTGTTGCAAAATGCTGAGCAAGTAAACTCAAAACTCTACAAGACGACGATGCGTCTTGTGCTCGGATTTGAGAGCTTGGGAGAGGCAAATGACACGTTGACGGGAATGGTGAGAGTACACGCGGTGAAGATGGGCTCAATCCACCAGATAATGGTACAGTTTTGGCAGACCAACGCTCAAGGTAATGCAAAAGGCGCGGCAGGAGGAGCAGGAGTGGGAGTAGGAGGTTGCAATCGACCTCTTCTTCCTCTACTTCTACATTCCACCACTACCGACACCTTCATGACGTATACGAACATGCCGCACTTCACAGTAGTATTAAGCATTTCCTTCACCTTTGATAATGCTTGTGATAACATTTATTGACAATGGTTGTGTGAGTTATGAGGGCAATAGTAGCAATGAGAACAATTTTGAAGGAATGATACACACAGAAAGCTCAAACTCTGTGTTTTTTGTGTCTTTCAGTCATTCTCTCCAAGGGCAGGTTCCGAGCCGGACTGATAACAGGAATACTGGCCATTGTCTTGGTCACTATCCTGATAGCGATCGTAATTATAAGGAAGCGAAGGGCGAAGATCATAAGGCAGGATCAGTACATGTGAGTATCTCAGAGGTCATCTGTCACTGCCACATGCCTCTGTATTTGAAGAGGACATCGTCATAGCAAGACAGCTGCCCTATATCAAATGTCAGTTAATTGAAACAGCAGAATAATGCCTCCTGACACTTCTATCTCCAGTCACCTTAATCACCAGTGTCACACGCCGCATATATCGTGGGGGATTGATGACCAGAAGCAAACCCTTTACACCATTCACTTCACATGCGTATTTCCGTTACTGCGCCTTCGCCGGCCTTGCCACCCTTGCCGCCTTCGCCAAGGCCCGTACAACAAAATCCAGGAATACATTCGCCGCAGTCTTCGTAAAGCATCAATACCAACTGACATTTCAACGATATGGGTGTTGGATACCAAGGAAGGCAGTAAAGAGCACAATGCATGAATGTGACCATATTAGATGACCGACTAACTGACTGACCAACAGATCGACCGACCAACAGAATCAAAAACGGAAAAACGGACTCACTGACCGACTGACTGATCAAATAAATGACCGTCTGACCGACTAACTCACTGATCGACAGATAAACTAAACGACCAATCGACCGACTGACCAACCCACCAACTCTATTACCGACTGTCACACGAACTATTTCCTAGCTTCATAGGCAAGCACTTCCAAGTTGCGCTTCTGCAAGTCATTGCAACCAACTCCACCAAAGTCCCTCAGAACATACCATTTACCCAAAATAAACTTTCGCAATCTCCCTACAAAGGTGCACTATCTGTGATGTAATATTATTTGCATTCTTTTGTAGGAAAGTAGCTAATGAGGATGAAGATGCATTGGAAGCAGATTCCATGAACATAATACAAAAGAAGTTTGGATCGTAAGTAAACTCAGTCACTCCTTCACTTACTTTCCCATTTGGCATAAAGCTACGTGAAAATTCATGCTAAATTTTGCATTTTCCCACCATTGGAATCCATTGACGTCTCCTAATTTCCTTCTGAGCATTGCTTGCAAACAACGACTGTCTCTTCCACATCCACATCTCGTTTGAACCAATACTCACCGAAGGTCTTTGTGTGTGTTAGGCGTCTCCGCAAGGCTCCAACACCAATCCACCTGTCGCACTTTGTGAACACTGTCGCTAACTACGCCGCAAATGACTACGCGATATTGCGTGAGGAATTCAAAGTAATTTTGGCATTTCCTTCTCCCTCACAACTATAAAATGGTCGCAATTGCTGCGTTTAAGGATTTATAGAAATGGTGGCACTAGCACCACTTCAATCTATCAGCATTGCTCAAAATGCATGTTAGTGAAACTTGATACCAATTAGGTGTAACAGTGAAAGGCAAGATTGACATGACGACTGAAGACAGGGTGTAACAACGAAGGTGGATGCATTCTTTTAGACACTGCAGTGCAACGCCGCTATACAGCAGGACGAGAAAGGCCTTACAATGGAGGTTGGTGCTCACCCTGAAAACCAGTTGAGGAATCGTTACAAAAACGTTCTGCCCTGTGAGTTGCCTTTTGCTCGTCATGTGTCTGACAGCTGAAAATAGTGACAGTGTCCTTTCCATCAATAGGTGCGATGAGTTAGTTCAGTAAGTGATATTTTTTCAAGAGTGCAGACGAAATCAGCAATGTAGTGGATGGTCGTTCATGTGGAATGGAGGCAAATTTGGGGAAAAAGTAGTTTGCTTACCATGAGACTGCTTCCACTTTTATTTGCACATAGTGTCCAGGTAAGCTCTGGAAACCAAAAGGTTGTGGGAAATTGGGTTGCTCGTGCTCTCTAAATAGAGGCCAACCAGAGAAGCCAAAAAAAGAATTACTTCTACCACCTTCGTCTGCTCACATTTCTCATCAACCAATGTTAATTGTGAGGGAATTTTGAAGAAGAGTAAATGAAATTCTGAAAGCTAAGTAGAATTTGGTTCACTCCACCGGTTTTACAGTAATGAATATGCTGCGTGTTAGTCAACAGAGTGACAAGCACAACTGATACCAGGTGAGCAAAAAGGTCCAAGAGATTCCACTACAGCTTGCTGCAATAACTCTCGGTAGCGCAGCTTTAGGGACCTTGTAAGATGCATGTGATTGTTTACATGTCTGCAATGTAAAGCATAGCAACAGTGCGTCAGTTAGCTGGTCATTTGGACGGTGTCGGTAACATTCAGTGATAGCATGCATCTACAACATTGGCGATGGAAGAGTAGTGAAAACTCTGTAGAATGGGTGCCATGCACGCGTATGGATAAATAGCAGTAGGCTCAAACCACTACCAACCTCTTCATCACTATTTCCATTTAGGTTACATTAACTAACCGCAGTTTTTGGATTCTTGGTTAACTGACAAGTAGATGAAAAGGATACCACTTAGTGGAGATAGGCTAACGAGTGTGATTGGTTGTCTCGCACCACCTACTGTTCAACTCTGAATTCCGCTTAGTGGATGCGCTAGACTGGAGGCGAGTGCGCTCGAAGTAAATTCCATCCCAACTGCCTCGGAAGCATCACAGACAAGCCAATCGGTAAAAAGAAATTCCTACTCCACAAGTTATGTGCAAAAATCGCATCACTGCATCATTTACCACTGAGAAGGCTTGTCCTCTCACATGCACCACCCCATGGCATTATTCCACCCCAGAAGAGCTGAATGACTAATAACAGAGGTGGGACGAACAGACATTTTGCAGACACTGCTGACACTGATTACACCCACCCACCATCGTCGACAGTTGAAGCACATATCATTCTCCCAATCACTCTTCAATCAACCGGCACTGCTCCACGTTGTTGTTTCGTACCATCAGTGTATGCAGGAGCAGTGCATCAGATGGGCATGAATGCTTTTCACCCCAATTTCCAGTCGACCACAACCGCCTAAAGCTGACAAAGAAGTATGCGCTGGCTGATCTCTGTACAGTGGACGAAAGTGACCCCAAGGCCACACCTCTCGCCCTCAACGCATTGTCAAACTACGTCAATGCTAGTCTCATACCCTCCACTCCACCGTTGTTGCGCATCAACTGCGCGACTGCCAAGCCTGAGTGCAGGTCCTGTCCCAACGTCTACGTGGCGGCGCAGGCCCCCAAACGCTGCTCCGTGGCACTCTTCTGGCAGGCCATTTGGGATTCCAATGTGCGAGTTATTGTCATGCTGACTAGGTGAGTGCCTACCATTCCACTCCTCCTTTAAGATGTTGTTACTCGGACAAGTTCTTTCTCATGACCCCCTCACACCTGTCCGTGATTCTGCGTCTGCTTTGCAGATTGCACGAAAGGGAGAAAGAAAAGTGTTGGCCTTACTGGCCACGCAAGCATGACAATAGGGATGGTGATGGTGAGGGTGATGGCCTAAACAGCGAGTTATGCTCCGCCACGTACGGCAACTTCGCCGTCACTCTGCAGAGCACTGAGACCGGCTTCTGCTACATCCGTCGCGTTCTCGTGATCCACAATAAGGTGAGTGTGGAGGGCGGACTAAAATGATTTGCACCACTACACACGATTGCAGTTTTCTGCCTTCACACCACACCTCCACCCACTGGTCACCTCCAATTGCGTCAGCACCTGCACCAGACCAACCGAAGAAGAACCTTCCATGCACACGGTTATATGCGCACACAATTATGTCCATTCAGTGGAGCTCTATCTGGACAATAAATAGCTGTGTGTGTGTGTTGGTGTGTTTTAGGCTGTCGAAAATACCATTCCCAGACGGGTGATTCAACTTCTGATGACAAGTTGGGATGATTTTAAGGTGCCCAGAAAGGACGACTTTTGCATTTTCCTGAAGAAATACTGGGATGACCTCAAGGCTATGAATAGGCAATCCGTTGGCTCTGTCCTCGTTCACTGCAGGTATCTCCTCTTCCAATTTCTATTCTTCCATTACCAACAAACAGTTACTTTCATTTGCTTGTTTGTACGATGGAGTGCCTAATGCCCACGGAACACACTGATGTGACTGTTTTAGCGCCGGTGTTGGAAGAACGGGCACATTCATTGCAATCGACATGCTCGCTCGGTACATCGAAGGGTTAGTGGAGTTGGGGAAGAGGAGGGTTTCGAGCAACACGAAGACCGAGGACAATGGTGTGCCGTGGCAGGAATCCATCTACGCAAATCTAACGGAATCGGGAAAGGCCATTCTGCTGCACAACCGTGCCACACTTGACAAGAGCACCTCAATGGTGGACATCTTTCAAACTGTCCTTTGGCTACGATCACAACGGTTGAAGTCGGTTCAACAGGATGTGAGTTGGCTGCCTACCTGTGTCTTCAACGCATTCAGTCAAGCTGCGTCTGTCTTCATACAGATTTGTACATTAGTTGCCCCAATTGGTAATCTGTGGATTAAATTCAAGGAGCTATTTATAGAGGTGACCTATTTAAGTTGTTTGTTGACAGACATGGAGGCAGATTTGTCTCCAGTTCACATGGTAGCATAACTGTGCATCCTGTTCCATGGAGATGCAATCCCATTGGATGACACCCTATCGCTGTACAAGACAATTTTGATCACTTTGCATGCTCATTCCTTCGAAACACTTGACATTATTTTGTCTGCCCAACACTAGGAACAACTGATTGGCTACTGCTCTACTGAGAAGGGAAGTGTATGGTTGCGGTAATCATTTATCCATTGTTTTTTCGCTTTTAGATACAATATATCTTTATCTATGACTTCCTCAGCTACTACATCCAAAGTCTAACTGGAGAAGTAGGTAAGTATGCGGCTTTCAAATGATGACACTACCTCCCTTCCACAGAGTTTCCTTTCGACAGTGTTTGAGGAGGGGCCCACTGAAGAAGTAATTACAGGAGCTAGGAGGGGTTGCCAATAGTGGTTTACATGATTTGTACCTTATACTTCAATTCCTGAATAAAAATATGCATATATTACTACTTATGATGTTCATGTATGTGCCAGATACTTTAGCGTGGAGGGGTGGAGTCATATTACTAGAGCAGAATAGGTACTGCCAACTTATAGAAGGGCTGGGGAGGCGATTGACTTGTCTTATAGGCTATACGACCAAAGGATTGTACAAAGGCGGAGCCTGCCTACTAGCCTGCCCAAAAGGAATAGTTCAGCATGCAGTTGTAGTATTACACTGCATTATTGTGAGTATTCGCCCTCTCGTGGAATCCACCATCTAATTTAGAACTATCTCGAAAATGTCAAATGCACCAATTCAAAGGTAACAAAACCTTAAATGGCGAGGTTGAATAACATGACCTTGAAGGCTTTCGCCTTTGTGCAGTAGTAATTCTGCAGTGCATGCACAACGATAAGAGGAACAAAAAATATGACGTTTAGAATGAATATTTTAGGCAATGCTTTTGTTGCTCATCATCCATCCCCCAGTCCCGACTATGAAAATGAGAGTGGAAGAGAAGCCACATATACTGATGACGTGAAATTGTACAAATAGTAAAGGGTTTTTTTGGAGTCAGAGTTTGACCTCCCCACTTTCGAATGGATGGCGATTTTTCCGTCTTGCCGTTTGCCCAATTTGTTGGCCTGTGAATTGGATAAGCCACATCTAGAGCTCAAACAAATTTCACACTCTCGGCAATTAATTGTGACAATCTTATTGTTCGCCTAATTTGTCGGAGAAGTAGGACTCAGCCTTTGTTTACCTGTTGGACGGTAAAAACAAATTAGGAAGACCAAAAGTACGTAAAATCTCATATTCCACGAGTTTTGCTATGCCTTGCAATTCATTATTGTTGACTTCTTTTGGGACAGTGATCCTAGGACTAGCGATGGGTGTGCGAGATGGACAGCACATTTCCCAAATAAGACGAAACACCAAATTCAGCGGAATTGCCAAGAGGGATTAGTGACGGTGCAGACAGATGTCTCCTTAGTTGCACGCAAATTCAGTGGTTGCTGGGTTAGTTCGTGAATGCTTTCTTTCTTTCAGCGCCGACTGCTTTGTAATGGCCGACCAGGGAGGTGGAAATACGGTAACACTGAAGACGACGTTTGAAAGTAAGGGGGAGCTATATAACGCTTTAAAGGTTTCTACAGCTCATCGTTTTGGTTCTGCTACCGCTTAAGCTCCCGTGATTTTGCATTTTCCCAAGGGCATAATCTCCGAGTCACTCTAGTAGCCTCCACAACTTGAGTACACCGATAACACATTCTGTTCAAGTATTATGACTTCTTCCATCGTCAGGGGAGTCTCGCGGTATGGCAGAAAAGCATACTTTTCATTCATAATAATCGTGAGGATGAGTAGGAATTGAAGCATAGGGCACGATTTATAGAAATCAAGACTTGTGAAATCGTCCCGTTGATGCGGTTGCCCCTTGAATGGGTCCCGCCTCAAACACACTCTTAAGGGAACCCTATTAAAGTGAATCAAAGCTATCATTCAAATGTCGTTAACTTACTAACTTTGGATGTAGTAACTGTGAAAGTCATTGATAAAGACGTATTGCATATGGAAAGACAAAAACAGACAACTGCTTAACGTTACTGCGTACTCACCACTGCAGCATCAAAACGGCTAATTTGTTGTACTTAATATGACATTCACAAGGAAAGTTTATGTGTTGCAAAGAAATGAGCACTAAATTGATCAAAAGCACTTTTTGGAGGTGAATGTGGTGACAATTTTACGGCTTACATGCCTCCAAATTAGGACAAGTGGCTTTGTGAAGAGGTGGGCTCGTACTGCAAATAAAGAAGAATCTGCTCTAATGCCTCCTTACAAATTATTTAAATGAGATCCTTATGGAGACAAATTTTAGAATTCAATCTCTAGAATGCCAACTTGAATATCGAGCTACCAAATCTACATAATGACGGCCGCTGAGTTGCTAAAGGAGCTACTTAGAATTGAGTCAGTAAGGCAATTTGAAGCATTACTGAGCACCATCATCCTTACCTCGGCTTCACCATGTTCTTTATATCGTTTGAGGAAAGAGATACGAGGAATTTAAGACCTAGGTGGGCAGACAACTAACATCCTGTTGGACTGTCTTCGGCCGTTGTGATTGCAGCCAAAGGACAATTTGAAAGAAGTCCACCACTGCAAATCCAAGTGACCTGCCAATACGGCCCCAGCCGCCACGTTGGCGCCGGGAAAGGACCTGCACTAAGGCCTGCTAGTCGGGCGGTTGCTGTGCAACAAGGCAATGAGGCTAATCTTGACTCAATCTGACAACGCTCTAGGGCAATAGATGCAGCCGTGGTGTAAATATGATTGGCTGGGCAGATACCAGCCCTAATATATCTCTTTGATCGACTAGAAATAGGGGTGAAAATCACCCAAGCTCATGTGGTGCAATACCTTGACAGTATGCATTGAACATAAGTGAAATTGTATCCTCTTTAGCTGTCTATGATGGTGCGTGGGCCTTTTCAGTATCCGCGGTGTCCACGAAGGTTTGCACGTCCCATCTCTGCCATTAGCTATCTTGACCTTCCAGGGCTCTCATTGCCATAGAGCGGCCCTTTGTCATCTTCGCGGAAACTCAACTATTCCATTTGACGTGTGATTGCCGCATACCACTGTCAAGAATGGATTATGAGCATCACTTTGTTAAATGTCATCAAGAGAATACGAAGGGTAAGGTAGGGGACTTTCTGCCCCCCATATAAGAGAGCAGATTTTGCGTCACTGAGATTTTGTGCCTTCTTGTAAAGTAAGGATTGCTTCCCACCAAATGGCTAGTCCAAAGTGTTTCTGACAAAGCGGCTTTTGCATAGATTCGACCTGTATCTCAACTATAACTGCCTCGTCTTTAGCAAGGAAATTAGTCAGAACAGTTGCGTCTCCAGTTCGGCATGCACACAGCGAGCGTCAGCTGCACCACTCGAGCTGTTGCAATGGATTTGTGAGATGCATGGTAAGTGGTTTGGAATTACCAGGCACACGTTTGTTTGTCTAACCTAGAGTTATAAAAACAATCTAACAATTGCGATATGTTTTTTACCGTACGTGTAGGCTTACTGTTATGCTATCAATGCAGGCGGATGAGGCCCATTTTCAAAGTTTAACCACTGATCTATCGCATTTGGCTTGCTTCCTCATTTATTTTCACTATTACGAATGTTCTGTTGGTCACTGGAGACATCATGTATTTATCATAGATGGAGGGACGCACAGACCGATCGACACACCCAACAACCGAACCACCAACTGAGTGTCTAACATAGCTACCGACTAGCGTATCGGTGTTGTGCGTAATGGTGTCTATAGGTCAAGAGTTGGATGATAGTTGCAAGCCCTCGGGAGCTATGCTACAGCTAATAATTGCATCAAGCTCTCCCAAGAACCGTATGAACTTTTTAATTACATCTGCAATTCCGTTACCAAACAGGTAGCGTGTTCATCAATACCAAATTCTACTAGACTTATCACTTCGTTTGTTTTATCGAGATTTCGCTGACTATTGCATAGATTTAATCAGCGATGTGAGCAGAAGAAAGTAGTAAAAAAATACAGGATTTTGTTACTTCGGGTTTGGTTTTTATCATAAAGTTTAAGCAAGCCAATGTCTCACCACCTTTTGGGATCTTCAGTTCAGCTCGGTACTGTGCAAATGCGATTGGAAGAGGACTCATGGCAAGTAAACTCATCTTTTCTACTGTTCGCCTCTCTTTTGCTATAAGCCACTACTTATAACTTTGTTGCCAACTTTTGAAAATTGCACTTCAATGGTGAGGGCACATGATAGGAGAAGGAAATCTTACAGGGTAAAACCCTTTTACAACGCTTCCTTAAGTGATATTGAGGGCTTGCACCAACCTCCCTTGTGGAACATTTGTCGCTTTCCTGTGCAGCAGCGTGACCTCGCACTGTCTAGGAGCAAGCACCGGTACCCGCTGTCACCTCCTTTCTCTACGTGTCCTGCACATCTTATCTTGTACAGAAAAAGCTAAGTAGGATGAAGGTAAATTAGCCCAAATTCAACGCTACTAACTTGGCAACCTGTAGGAATCCGCGAAACTCTGCACTTGAGAACCGCTTTTAACATGGGGAAAGAAGTAGTGAAATTACCAAAAACTCCTCCCAATAAACCGCATGGCTAAAGGGGATTGGCACTTTTGTCAACCAATTGCAATTTCGATCGTCTTTGTTGGGTACATTATTTATGTCCTCAAGCTTTCACAAGTCGCCTTCCCTAGCCGTCTTACAAGACCTGCATTTGCAAAACCAATTCTCGAGGTCTGCATCTAGATCTGACAGATGGATTTAGCAGTACCTTGCCAGTTGTCAATACCTAACATATAAATGGCTCTCCTTTTTGTGCTCTCATATTTTGAAACCTCCAAATCCATTTGAACAACTTTTCTTGTGTGCAGAATTTTGGAGGTAGCTGAATAACTCCTGTGATGATGAGGAGGGAAGACTATAGTAACGATAACCATTGTGGCCTTTCAGATTTAGTACATCTTGATTAATCAATTCCCAAATTACTACATCCAAAGTCGAACAAATGAAGATGGTAGGTTTGTAGCATTTGAATGAGCGCATTGCCTCCCATCGATGGATTCTACAAGGTAGTGTTTGAGGAGGGACCAACCCAAGAGTCAATCGCACTAACTGGAATGGTGTGCAGATGCTGATCTATATGACTTCTGCCTTACATCTCAAACTCAGAATAAAAAATACGCATACTCTGCTACTCGTAATCTACTGATAAAAGGTGAATGCAATGATGCAGAGCCCAGAGTCTCCTTCAAGAAGGAAAGAAGACATAACACCGGGGCAGAATGTATATTGTCAGCATACAGAAGGGTTTGGGGCTACTGACACTGCCTGGAGGCCCTGCCACCTAGCAGAGGTGTAACCGCCTAGCCAAAGCAATCAATTAAACAAGCAGTGCGTCTCGAGTCTTTCCTAAAATAGGAGGAAATCATAAGAGGGTGGTGGAAGATATATTACTGATGTGCAGAAGAGCTGAGGTTACCGTCATGGCACGGGCTTTAGTGACTGCGTAGTCAAGGCTCGAGAGTAAACAAACGATCAAAGTGCCACAGTCACTGCCTAAGTTATGGTTGAAAAGGTGACGGGGCACAGGAGTCTGAAATTATCTGCTGTGTAGTTAAACCAGTCCTTCATTCAACCATTGTGGAGACGGTATTGTGGCAGACTGGGCACTTATGCCCTTGATAGCGAGTCTAATTTTAACAGCAAATTTTGACGAAATTTGGTTTAAATGAACTTTTCCCATCCTAAACAGAAGGGTGCTATGTCCTCACTGATAGTTATAGGTCATTTTCTCACTTCCACTGTTGTTGACGCGAGTCTTAGTCTTGAGGTCAAAGTTTGGTACTTCTAACAAAGTACTCAGAGGAAGTGCTTTGAAGCGATCTGTTGACATTCACTGATTCATAAGGGAAGGCAATCTTAAACACTCCATCATAATGCAGCTATGTTCACTTACCCAATTTCTACCTTCTACATGGCCCTCT